TGTTGGCCCCATTTCCAGTTGAAGAGACAGAGACTTGGAGATGTCTTGGATCCCCGCCGCCTTTCCCCCTCTCAGACAACGTGTGTATGTACCGATGACCTTGAACTTGCTGATGGCGCTCCCTGGTGTTAATGCAGAGTGGCACCTGCTTGAGCCATCCAACCTGCCTTGGGTGTCGAGTCCCGCTTGCTCTGGCTGGGGGAGAGTTGGAGCCACCGAGAAGCTATGGTTCCTGAGCCAAGGGAAGGATGGGCTCTCTGTGGGGTCAGGCATGTACTTGCCCTGAATCAACGAAGGGGAGGCAGGGGGGGCGGCAGTGAGAGGACCCACGGGTGGGTCGGAAGGCTGTGGGCCAGTGCACGTGGGTGTTTGGCTGTGGAATTTCAGAGGGAGCCAGCCAGACGCAGAGGTAACCACAGGTCCCAGGATGTGCTGATGGGGGGAGGTGGTTCCCATGGAGGGAAGAGAGCATGATGGAGATGAGGGGGTTGGTACTGAGCAAGGCAGAGTAAGGGGGTCCTTGCGTGGGCACCGACACCACATAGGATGACAGCAGGCCTCAGGGTGAAGACCAAGACCAGGACCATGTGTGGAGGGTGGAAAGTCAGAGCGTCGTGGCCCAGAGGTCAGAGACTGGGGGAGCAAAGAGGGCAAGCAGGTGCAGCGGGGGGCAGGGCTGTGCTGCTGTAGATGGACTCTAGGGACCGAGAAACAGCAAGCCAGGCTCTGACCCCGTGGCGTGCTGGGTGTGGGAGCAGAACCCCCTCTGCAGGGAGATGCCTCTGGGGGAGGAAGGGGTCAGGCTAGTTTCTATGGGAACAGGTTGGCTGCTTTCAGAGTGGGCACTTTGTGGGGGATTAGGAGGAACCGGAGCGGAGGCACACATGCCAGTGTAGACACTGGCCAGGCAGAACAGGACACAGTGCATGGTGGGAGCGGCCTGCAGGCAGGATTGCAGGAGGAGTCCTCTGGGCCCAGCTGATGCGGGTGGGGTGCAGGGTGGGTCCGGAGGGGGTTTGACCTGGACTGGTGGCTTCTCCAGGGATCTGCCGGGAAGTCAGCCCCTGGGAATCCAGCCCCACCGTTGTCAGCCAGTCCCAGCCTCCTGTGGGTCAGAGATCAGGAGCAGCGGTGTCCCCACACCGGCATCTCTCCTGGGAGCCCAGAACACCAACACGGCGTCCAGGACGCTGAGCCACATCCCCCGGGGTTCACCGCCTGCCTGCTACCAATCTGTCAAAAACCCACTTACATGCGGTCCGTGGGGTTTTAGAGGTAGACTAAGAACCACTAGAGAAAGTCAGGTTAGCTCACATTCCAGAGGAGCCTCGGGAGGGGGGCTCACTGTGCCCACGGAAACCGGAGAGGCACACGGAGAAAGCAGCGTGGGAGCAGCGGCTCCGGGGTCAGGATCTCAGACCGCCGCAGCGTGGGTTTCCGTCTCCTCGCATCCCCCGGCTCGTGCAGGCACAGCTGTGGTTTATTTTCAGAGCACACTCTGAAACTTGACAGACCCTCATGCTGGCCTGCCTCACAGCTCCAACTCCTCGCCAGGTGGTGATGAGAAAGCAGCGACAATTCAGACGACAGCCGCTGTCAGAAGGTTCCATCTGTACAGGAAACAGACAGGTGTCAAACCTGGGCCAGCAGATGGTGGCCCGGAATCAGCAGGTGCAGAGGGGCCTTGGCCGTGCCAGAGCCCCTGCGGAGCTGGCATCGGGACCCTGTTTGGCGCTGAATCCTGGGGTGCACCTCCTGTGTAACTGCGCGTGCACTGAAAGTGAGTGTGGAGTCAGTGCGCGTGTCTGCACGTGCCGTGGCCCATGGGAGCGGAGTATGTGGCCGTGTCCTAGGGCTGCGGCAGGTGCCGGGCAGCGTGTGCATGAGCTGATCTGCTGGGTCCAAGGCTGTGAGTGGCAGAGTGGCAGGAAAGCACATTGCGCTGTAGGAGTGTAGCAGAGGGAGGCACCGGGTCTCTCGTGCACTTCAACTTCCTGCTGCCGAGGGGCGGTCCCCGTCACGTTGTCAGCTTCTTCCACCTTACTGTGTGGTTCACAGGCCTCCTTTCAGCGTCACAGTTCTGTTCCGTGCTACTCTGCTTTTTGGTTTTTTGTTCTCTCTCTCACCCACTTTTGGAGTTCGTGGTAAAATGGACTTAAAAGTAATTCTGTTTTGGCCAGCGCCATGGCTTACTAGGCTAATCCTCCACCTATGGCGTCAGCACCCCGGGTTCTAATCCCGGTTGGGGCACTGGATTCTGTCCCGGTTGCTCCTCTTCCAGTCCAGCTCTCTGCTATGGCCCAGGAAGGCAGTGGAGGATGGCCCAAGTGCTTGGGCCCTGCATCCCATGGGAGACCAGGAGGAAGCACCTGGCTCCTGGCTTCAGATCAGCGCAGCTCCAGCCATTGTGGCCATTTGTGGGGTGAACCAATGGAAGGAAGACCTTTCTCTCTGTCTCTCTCTCTCACTGTCTAACTTTGCCTGTCAAAAAAAAGTAACTGTTTTAGTGCAAAAACTTGAAATGCATATGCAGTGTCTTCCTAGTGTGCCCATTTCCGTGTGTTTTAGAAGACACACACAGGTTGTTGCCTCTTCAGCTCTTTGTACTCAACATGTCGTAGATGTCGAGCGAATGCTTCTGATACCCGGTGGAGGTGACCCTGGGGTGAGTCAGGAGAAGGAGAGGGGGTTGTCCCAGGCACAGGGAGTTTCTGGGACGGCCCCTAGATGCGCGGGGAGAGGGCAGTGTGTGATGGTGCCGTGAGAGCTCTTGGCAGCCAGGGTCAGGTGGTGCAGTTGGGAGACCTGCAGCCGGGGTGGGGGGAGAGGGGAGGCTGGCCGAGAGCAGATTTTGGCTTCTCTGCTGGGCTGCAGGATTTGGGTGCTTCTGGGAACCAATGCTGGAGAGCGTGAGACGCTTCCAAGAAAGCCTGGACACGGTCATTTCAGCCTGCCGGGGACTCACGGCCACGGCTTGTTCCTGCATGCCAGTTGCTTCCGTGTGTGCTCTATCACAGCAGAGCAACAGAGAAAGCCCAGGCCAGCGAGGCTGAGGGTCAGGGTCACCCATGCCAAGGCCAGGCCGACTGTGTGTTTTAGGTAGAGGATTGTGACAGCGGTGCAGGGATGGCTGGAGGGGTGTGGCTGTGTGAATGCCCTGCTGTAGCCACCCACCCAAGAAGTGGAAGAAGGGGGCCGGCGTTGTGGTGCAGTGGGTAAAGCCGCCGCCTGTGACGCTGGCATCCCGTATGGCCACAGGTTCAAGTCCCAGCTGTTCCACTTGCTCCCTGCTAATACTCCTGGGAAAGTGGCGGAAGGTGACCCAAGTGCTTGGGCCTCTGCATCCAACGTGGGAGATACAGAAGAAGCTCCTGGCTCCTGGATTCGGCCGGGCCCAGCCACGGCCCTTGTGGACATTTGGGGAATGAATCAACAGATGGAAGATCTCTCTCTCTCTCTCTCTCTCTCTCTCTCTTTACCTGTCTCAGTAATTCTACCTTTCAAATTAATAAATAATTCTTAAAAAAGGAGAGAGGAGAATTCTGAATAGACTGACTCAATGGAATTCTCCCTTTAAAAATTGATTTATTTTCATTTATTTGAAAAGGAGAGAGAGAGATTTATTCCACCTGCTGGTTCGCTCCCCAACTGCCCGCATTAGCCAAGCCTGTGTTAGGCTGAAGCCAGGAGCTAGGAACCCAGTCTGAGTCTCCTGTGTGTGTGTGTGGGGGGGGACCCAGCTATTTGAGCCATCACCTGCCGCTCCCCAGGGTCTTTGCAGGCAGCTGGATTGGAAGTGGCACACTGGTATGGGACGCAGGCACCATGAGCAGCATTTAACTGCTGTGTCAATCACCTGCCCCTAAATCCACAGGCTTCCTGCTGAGGGCGAGCCAGGGCCATGAGATGTTGGGGGTGGTGAGATCCTGAGGGTGGGGGACTTTGGCCAAAGTGGATTCTGCGAGCATGGGGTGGGGGTGGGGGGTCTCGGGGGGAGGCCTTATCAAGCAGGTTTGGTCGAAGGAGAGAGGCTTTGCCAGTGGAGATGCACATCTCCGTGGCATGAACATACAGGAAGGGGTGGAGACTCCCTGGGGGAGAGTGAGAGAGAAAGAGAAGCACCAAGGCCTAGCCCTGGGGATGCCACCATTGGGCAGCCAGGCTGGGGAATGGGAGCTGCCACTGGGGGGAAGCCGGAGCAGGTGGTGTCTTAGGACATCCAGCAATGCTCCAAGCAGGGGTTGGGAGAGGAGGGAAGAGGGGCCAAAGAGTGTATGAAACCCGGCGACCAAGGGGCACCCTGTGGTCTGGGCTGGGCAGTGCCGTGGAGCCGAGTGGGTGAAGGCAGACTTGTGGCTGAGCCATCAAGAGGAGGTGGAGGTGGGGACCTGGGGCTAAGGAGATGGAGGGGTTGGTGCTGGAGGTGTAGACACGGGGGCATGGGCAGCCGGAGGCAGCTGTCAAAGCCTTGCAGTGAGTAAAGTCGCACAGGGGATTGAATCGGGTGAGAGTACAGGATGGCTGAGGTTGGTGCCTTGGGAGGCGGAGGAGCCAACCAAAGATGGGTCCGGAGAATGCTGGACCAAGCCGGGGACAGGAAGGTTTTGGAGAAGGGCCCGGTGTTCGGAGTTCAGCAGGGTAGTCGGATGGAAGAAACCAAGCTGCGCTGTGGATTGAGCACCAGGGAAGCTGCGGGTGGTGGCCTCGCCCAGCGTCCCTGTTGTCAGGGTGTGCTGCGGGAGAAGGTGCAGTTGGAGCGCTGCGGAAAGATGCCATCCCACGAGTCGGAGAAGGCGTCTCCATCTGTGTGCGTTTTGCCTGGCTCCCAGAGCCTCCTCCCAGGGAATACTGGGGACTCCCAGGCCACAAGCGGGCTGCCCAGCCCCAGCTGTCCGCACTGAGCAGAGCGGCCGGCGGACGCGGGCCCCGCCCCTCCCTCCCCCACGGCCCCGGTTCTGGCGGGGGTGGCTCACGCGCATCTCCTCCTCTCTCCCTGCCAGGCCGCATCTTGGACCTGAAGACCGGCACGGTGAAGAAAGAAGGGCAGCAGTCGTCCATGCGCATGTGCATGGGCTCGCGGCGCTCCTTCATCTGCAGGATGAGGTGGGTGGGGCCGGCGCGCGCTTCCCCACCCCGGGCGGGGCGGGGCTGGGCGTGAAACCCCTTGGCCCCACCGTCCAGGGGCCTCCGGGGTCCCACTGAGGCCACGCGTGCTGCCTTGGTTCCTCCTCGGCCTCAGCGTGTGCAGCTGCAGACCCCTCGCTCTGTCTTGTAAGCATCGCTTGGCCCTGTCCCCTCCCACGTGGGTTTCCCGCGTGTTCCGCCTTCCCTGGATTCGCATCACCTTGTCCCCTGGATCTTCTGACTTCCTGCCCTCTGCAATCCAGCCGCACCCAGATCCCTTATTTCTCAACAGGTTCTGTGTTAACGGCCCAGGGATGTCACACCTACTTCCTGTAGCAGCCCCTAGATTCCTAACTGGCCTCTAACTACCGAGTGAATTGATATGTTCAGAGCAAATGTCTTGGTTCCATGGATAAATGTTAGTGCTCTGGGGACAGAGGCTTTGGTTTACACCGGAATCTTCTGCACATGTTTGCTTCTTACATCGCCATTGAAGAGACGCAGGGGTGATTGAGGTTGGCTGGGATCAGGAAGGTTCAGCCATGTCCTCAAAGGAGACACAGCCAGGATCTCGAATCCTCAACCCCGGGCCAGACACCCCCAGCCCTTTCACCTGGTCAGGGGTGCAGGACGGGCAGCCAAGTCTGTCTGGGCTGTGGCGGTCAGGAGGCAGAGCTGTGAGATGACGCCCTCCACTCACACAGTTATCCAAGAAATTTATATGCGGGGCCCCTCTGTGCTGGGTGCCCTTCAAGGTGCTGGGGGTTGGATTTTCAAGGAAGCAGACCAGTATCTGCCCACCAAGGACTTCATTTTACTGGGGGTCATATGCACTAGGCAAAGTTCCAAGTAGGGATGTGACAGTCACATGTTGCTATACACTATGGGGGAAATAAAAGCAGATTGGAGAAGGAGTAGAGGGGCTGGCACTGTGGTGTAGTGGGTAAAGCCACCTCCTGCAGTGCCAGCATCCCATATGGGCGCCGGTTCGAGTCCCGGCCGCTCCTCTTCTGATACAGCTCCCTGCTTTGTGTGTCTAGGAAAACAGAAGAAGATGGCTCGAGTCCTTGGGCCCCTGAACACACCTGGGTGACCAGGATGAAGCTCCTGGCTCCTGGCTTTGGACAGGCCAAGCTCCAGCCCTTGTGGCCATTTGAGAGTGAGCCAGCGGATGGAAGAGTCTTTGTCACCCTCTGTCTAACTCTGACTTTCAAATAGATAAATAAATCTTTTATTTATTTATTTATTTAGTTAGTTTTTAAAAAGAGTAGAAGGCAGTAGGCATGACTGACTGACGTGGTATTTAGGGAGGTTAGGGGAGGTTGATGGGGTGACGTCTAAGCACAGACATGAAGAAGGCTAGCGGATGAGATACGGGAACTTCTAGGTAAAGACAGCACCAGGTAGAGGGGATGGCAAGTGCGGAGACCCCCAGGCAGGGCACCCAGCGACCAATAAGGAGATTTCTGTCTCAGAAGTGGAGCAGAATGAGTGGGGAGTCGTGCACAGAGGTGAGGCGAGAGTCCTGGAGGTTGCATTGCATTGCCCCACGGAGACTCCGGCTTCTCTGAGCTGCGAGGTCGCTGCATTTGGGCCTCAGGTTCAGGTTCTACGTGGTGTTGAAAGGTGGCTCTGGCTTTGTGTGCAGCGAACCTTGCAGAGGAAGAAGCAGAGAGCAGGTCAGGGTGGTAACTCAGGTGAGACACGTGGTGACCGTGATCATGGCAAAGGGCGGTCAGAGTTCAGATATCTTCACAGACACAGCCAGCCATTGTGTGTGTGTGTGCGTGTGCGTGTGAGTGTGTGTGAGTGCGTGAGTGTGCATGTGTGTGCGTGTGTGTGTGTGTGAATGAGTGTGCATGAGTGTGTGTGTGAGTGTGTGAGTGTGCGCGTGAGTGTGCATGTGAGTGTGCATGCATGTGAATGCGTGAGTGTGTGTGAATGAGTGTGTGCATGAGTGTGTGTGCATGAGTGTGTGAGTGTGTGCGTGAGTGTGTGTGTATGTGTGTACGGGTGAGGAGGTGTGAGAGAAGGAGAGAAGTCCGAGACACGTCCAAAATTTGTTTCTATTCCAAGGGAAGATTGGAGCTGAGGAAGGCTGGGCAAGGTACAGGGAGATGCCGGTCCTTTTCAGACAACTAAATGGACACGAGGAGTAGACAGTTGGGCGCAGAATTCTGGAATCCAAGGGAGAGGTTGGGTTGCAGGATAAGGACTTGGGGACTGACATCAGTGAAGTGGGACCCCTTGCCAGGAAACTGCGGTATGAGATCACCTGGGACTGTGCCCAGGTCCCTCCCACAGAGGCAGGTGAGGGGCACCCACTGAAGAGGGGCAGGAGGAGCAGCGAGGCAGGTGGGGGGGAGGGAGGGAGGGCCAAGGGAACTTCCAGGAGGAAGCGGGGACACACTCACTGCCCAGCACCAATGATGGGTCCTGAATGTGAACTTTGCAGGAGCAGCAGGCGGAGCTGGGGCTGGGGACAAGGGAGTGAGGCCGAACAGAAACCGCGCCCGCCATCCCTGGCACGTGGTCTCTCCTTGCAAGTCCATCGTAATTTAGATGCATTGTCTCCTGCTTGGGTGATCTTCCCTCCTCTCTGCCAGGACCCTGGAGCCCGAGGAGGCTCTGAGCCTCAGGCCTGGCACGGTGCAGCCATGCACTAACCTCACCGTCACCCAGCTGCTCAGGACTGGAACCATGAGGACCACTGGAGTGTGTGTTGTGTCCTAAGAAGATCCACACAGTAGACGCTTTAAAGAAGTGCACATTTGCCATAATTAAAAGTAATGTTTTAAAGGAGTTTTTAAAGATTTATGCACGAGAGAGAGAGAGAGAGAGAGAGAGAGAGGAGAGAGATCTTCAGATCTTTCATCCACTGGTTCACTCCCCAAATGGCTGCAATGATTGGGACTGGGCCAGGCCAATGCTAGGAGCCTGGAACTCCATCCTGGCCTCCCACGTGGGTGACAGGGGCCCAAGTACCTGGGCCATCTTCTGCTGCCTGCCCGGGAATATCACAGGGAGCTGGATTGGAAGAAGAACAGCTGGGACTGAAACCCACGCTCATACTGGATGTTGGCGCCGCAGGAGATGGCATAACCCATGAGCCACAATGCCAGTCCCACAACTGAGCTTTCAAACAAAAGGCTGGTTAACCAAGGTGGCCTGTGTCGAGGGACACCCTGCCTCTCTGACCCTTGCCGGGCCCTCAGAGCTAACAGGGCTGTTTTGCGCCCTAGTACAAGAGCTGGCCTTCAGAGCCTTGAGTATAGTGAGCCTTGTCTCTCAGCTCCTCCTGTTCAGGCTCAGCAGCTGGCCTTGGTATGCTGTCAGGAGACCTGGAGGAAACCCCTCCCCCCAGCCGCAGCCACAGGTGGCGTTGGGGTGACGGAACACAGGGGCATCTCCCTTTATCTGGCCTGGCATCTCTCATGCTGTCTGTCCCCTGTGCAGCTGCCTGGGGCAGGCTGGGGGCTGGGAGTCCCCTGTGTCAGTGTCCACCCGGGGATGAAAGGCCTGGGTCATGGCAGGGTCCATCCTGCGGTGCTCTGGCAAACAGAGGGCATGCCCAGCCCGGCTTGGTGGGCAGTGAGCAGAGCACCCACAGTTGCCCCCCGCTGAGCTATTCCCTTATGAGCTGACTGCTTGGAGGCCCCCTAAAACCCCGTGTCTATTAGAAGCTGTTCTCTCCGCCCTGTCAACCCATGGCAGGCAGCACCTTCCCTGTCCCAGAGCCCTGCAGGGCATGCCAGGCCCTCACTACCTGGGTTTCCCTGACAGGCGGGCAGTACAGCCATCCGTTGAGAGCGTAACCTCTGCCTCCAAGTACAACACACTGGGCACAGTCCGCCAGCCCGGGACAGAGAGCCGTGCCGCCGTCCCTGGGCGGCAGCGTCATAGAGTGATCCTACTGGCAAAACTCCCCCTGCTGGTGCTGGCAGCTGTCCAAGGTCTCCCTGCTGTGGGACAGTCAGGACGCCCGGGATGTCACTTGTCATGCAGTTGGGAGAGGGAAGAGCGGGCCACCAAAGAGGCGTATGCAGGCTTTCATGTCCAGCGCCCAGGGTTCTCAGAGCGTCTTTGAGAAGGGGCACAGGGGAAGTCCCAGCCGAGTGCGCCCTGTGTCCCCTCAGTGAAGGGCCTGCAGCTGTGTCTGTGCACCCCGCATGCCGCTGTGCCGTGTGCCATCCCCGGGCGTCCAGCTGTGTGCTTACTCTCGGAGCCAGGACCTTGCCGGGGGCCAGGGAGAGTTTCTACAGCTGTGATGCTGCCGGGAGGTACTTCTGCTCATCAGCTGGCGACATCTGTCTGCAGTGGCTGTCCCTGCTCAGGCCTGGAGCGACATTGCCGCTGTCATCACCCGCTCCGCCCGTTTCCTGAGAGCCCACCCCGACCCCAGCACTTCTGAAATGCCCTGTGGGACGGAGCCGGGCAGGGTGTCTCCTAGAGCCTCTCTGGGGGGATCTCCAGACTCAGGGCTGTGCCTCGCAAAGTGGCTCACACTGTCCTTCCTTGGGTGGTGGTCCCTGCGCCGTGGAGGGACCCGGGCTGTGCCGGCACGCACTGGCAGAGCCCGCCCCTCATTCTGCCCCTTTGGTTCCATCCTAGGTGTGGAAACGCCCCCTTGGATCACCTTCCCCTGAACAGAATCACCACCATGCGGAAGCGCTTCAGGTCAGTGCCCCCTCCTGCTGGGCACTTGGGGAAGGCTGAGGGGGAGCCCGTGCTGGAGAGAGGAGGAGATGAGATGAGGATGGGGGGTGGGTGGAATTGACTCGGGATCTCAGGCCACGTGGGAGGAGGGAAAACAGGATGGTGAAAGTCCAGCTTGGAAACCACAAAGACAAACAAGGAGCCCGGTAGCTTCCGTGCCGGAGGAGTCATCAGCATCCTCACCCGGCCTCCACGCCATGAAAACATTTTCACAGCTGTTCTTACTTTAGGAACGGTCTCGGCCCCGTGAAAGAAGGAGAGGCCCAGTACGCCGTGGTCCACTGCACGGGGTACATCAAGGCCTGGCCGCCAGCAGGTAAGCAGACCGTCCCGTGTCTGGGTGCCCAGGGCCCTGGAGGCCACTTACACCTGACCACGCTGTCCTGTTAGAAAAGCCCCCTGCTGGTCTCACAGTCAGCTTGGTAACCGGAGAAAAGTCTCCCTTAAAACAGAGTTCCCCCAAAGCTGCCCGCGCCAAGATGGTTGGAGCCCTAGCAGCTCTTCTCCGTGCTCTGAGACACAGGACCCTCTGCCGGTTCAGCGTGGCCAGTTGAATCGACAGCTGTGTCCACGTGAGCAGAGAAATGCAAGTGAAAACCGCACAGCGAGACGCCTTCCACTCTCCCTAGGACAGTTCCACTGAAAAGTGGCTGCTGGGGAGAGGGCACGGAGCAATTCCACATGGCTGGTGGGAATGCGACGTGGTGCAACCACCGGGGGAGTGGTATCCCTGTGCAACCGTGGAACCCAGCGGTTGCTCGCTCCTAGGCGTGTACCCAGGAGAACTGGAATCCTACATCCCCCAAGGAATCCGTGCACGAATGATCCCACCAGCAATATTCATAATGGCCAAAAAGTGGAAGCAACTCAAATTACAGCATAACCAACTAACTAAAGTGTGGTATATCCATGCAAAGGGATATCATTCATCCAGAAAGAGGAACAAAGTATTGAAATAATAATGTAGACGAACCTTGAGAATGTCATGCTCAATTTAGGAAGCCATTCACAAAAGACCGTGTGGCGTATGCTTTCATTTCTCCGAAATCTTCAGGATAGGCAAACCCATCGAGACAGACAGTAGATTTGTGATTTTCAAAGAGAGCGAAGAATGGAGAATGACTACTGGCTCGTTCAGTGGGTACAACAGTAGGTGCGGTGTTTTATTTTGGGGTGACAAGAGGGTTATAAAATGAGATGGTGGAGGTGGTTGCACAATTCTATAAACACACAAAGAAAAAACACGGAATTATACACATTCGATGGCAAATTTATGGTACATGAATTAGATCTCAATAAACCTGGTTTTCAACAAAAGAATACATACAATATGAAACAATTTGTGCAAACTCTGTGACCCGGAATGTGCTATATTTCAGCAGGCGTCCCGATGTCAGCTGAAGAATAATGCGCATTCCTCTGTGGTTGTGGGGAGTATTCTACAAATGCCGGTCACATCAAGTTGATTGCTAAGCTGTTAAAAGCAGCTGTCTTTGTATTGGATTTTTTGCATGCTGGATGAATCAGTTGCTCAGAGAGGAATGCTGAAGGTTCCAGCCGTCATACTGGGTTTGCCTATTTCTCCTTGTAGCTCTCTCGGCTTTTGCCTCACATATTTCGGTGCAGTCTTAGTTGGCGCGTGCGTGTTAAGGATTGTTGTGTCTTGGAAAACTGATCTTTTATGTAATGTCCCTTTTCTTTATCCCTGATAATTTCCCTTTCTCTCAGTTCTGCTTTGTCTGAATTTAATTTAGATTCACTAACTTTCTTTTAAAAAAAAGATTTGTTTTACTTATTTGAAAGAGTTACAGAGAGAGATGGAGACAGAGAGGTCTTCCATCCGCTCCCCAGATGCTCACAGCAGCTAGAGCTCAGCTGATCTGAAGCCAGGAGCCAGGAGCTTTTTCTGGGTCTCCCGCATAGGTGTAGGGGCCCAAGCACTTGGGCCATCTTCTACTGCTTTCCCAGGCCATAGTAGAGAGCTGGATGGGAAGAGGAGCAGCTGGGACATGAACCGGCACCCATATGAGATGCTGGCGCTGAAGGCCTGGGCTTTTACCCTCTGCACCACAACATCAGCCCCTCTAACTTCCTTTTTTGATTAGTGTTAGCATGGTATGTTTTCCTCAATGATTTTAGCCCAATCGTGTCTTCATATTTAAATTGTTTTCTGCTGGCGCCGCGACTCACTAGGCGAATCCTCCGCCTTGCAGCGCCGGCACACCGGGTTCTAGTCCTGGTCAGGGCGCCAGATTCTGTCCCTGCTGTGGCCAGGGAGTGCAGTGGAGGATGGCCCAAGTGCTTGGGCCCTGCACCCCATGGGAGACCAGGAGAAGTACCTGGCTCCTGCCTTCGGATCAGCGTGGTGCACCGGCTGCAGCACGCCAGCTGCGGCGGCCATTGAAGGGTGAACCAGTGGCGAAAGGAAAACCTTTCTCTCTGTCTCTCTCTCTCACTGTCCACTCTGCTTGTCAAAAAAATAAAATAAAATAAAAAATAAATAAATAAATTGTTTTCTTTTGAATACAATATAGTTGCAATCTATCCAACTCTGATACCCTATCTTTTTTTTTTAAGATTTATTTATTTATTTGAAAGTCAGAATTACAGAGAGAGGAGAGGTAGAGAGAGAGAGAGAGAGGTCTTCCATCTGCTGGTTCATTCCCCAATTGGCTGCAATGGCCAGAGCTGCACCGATCAGAAGCCAGGAGCCAGGAGCTTCCTCTGGGTCTCCCATGCGGGTGCTGGGGCCCAAGGACTTGGGCCATCTTCTGCTGCTCTCCCAGGCCACAGCAGCCTTCTCCCTTTCCTATGTACATCTGAGTTCCGACTGGTACCAATTCCTTCTTCTTGAAGAACTTGCTGGGACTTTTCCTGCAGGGCAGTTCTGGTGAGGAACCCCCTGTTTGTTTCTGGGGGAGCCTTTGTTTCTCCTTCACATGCGAAGGATCATCTCACTGAGTCCGCAAGAGTAAGTCACTCCAGAGCGACAGGTACCTCCTCCGAGACGGGAGGGTGCCACTGCCGCCTCTTCTCGCCGGCACGATTCCGTCATCCATGCGCACCGTCTTCACCTCTGTCCTACAGGCAGTGTGCAGTTTGCTCTCAGCTTCTTCCAAGGTTTTCTCTTTATGCCTGATTTTCTACAGTTTACCCAGGATGTGCCCAAATGTAGCTTCTTACATATTTGTGCTGCTGGATGATCTGTGTCGTTAACCTTGGAAAATTCTCGGACATCAATCCTTCAAATATTACTTTGGCTCCATTCTGCTTTAGGTAGCCCGTCTATATGTATGTTCCACCTATGGAAATTATACTGCAGATCTGGGGTGTTCTCTCCTGGCTTTTTTCCCCCTCTTTGTTCTTTTTCCTCCTGGCATCTCACTTCGGGAAATCCCAAAGTGGCACATCTTCAAGGCCACTGCTGCTTCCCTTGGCCACATTCAGTGCATTGATGAGTCTCTCAAGGACATTTCTTGTTTCTGCCCAGTTTTTTATTTCTAGCATTGCCTTTTGGCCTTTTCTTAGGGCTTGTGCCCCTTTTCTTACCGTATCCAGCTGTTCTGTTATACTGTCTACATTTTTCTGTAGCATTCTTACTGACCATGGTCATTTTTTTTTTTTAGTAGAAAGCTTTTATTTAATAAGTATAAATTTCATAAGTATGACTTGGATTATAGTGGTTCTTCCCCCCATACCTGCCCTCCCACTTCCAAACCATCCCACCTCCTACTCCCTCTCCCATCTCATTCTTCATTAAGATTCATTTTTAATTATCTTTATATATAGAAGATCAACTCTATACTAAGTAAAGATTTCAACAGACTGCACCCACACAGACACACAAAATATAAAGTACTGTTCGAAGACTAGTTTTACTGTTAATTCTCATAGTACAACACATTGGGGACAGAGATCCTACATGGGGAGTAAGTGCACGGTGACTCCTGTTGTTGATTTAACAAATTCACACTCTTATTTATGGCGTCAGTAATCACCCGAGACTCTTGTCATGAGCTGCCACGGCTATGGAAGCCTCTTGAGTTCACAAACTCTGATCTTATTTGGACAAGGTCATAGTCAAAATGGAAGTTCTCTCCTCCCTTCAGAGAAAGGTGCCTCCTTCTTTGATGGCCCGTTCTTTCCACTGGGATCTCACTCACAGAGATCTTTCATTTAGGCCATTTTTTGCCACAGTGTCTTGGCTTTCCATGCCTGACACGCTCTCAATCGTGGTCATCTTAATTTCGTGGCTGTAGTTTCACATCCGAGATGGATTCTATGCCTACTTTGTCTCTTCAGACTGCTTGGCCTTTCGCGTGCCCTCTTCAAAGTAGCCCTTTGTGGAAACCCTGTCATGCTATCTCAGGTAACAGGATATGGAGGTCAGCAGGCCTGAGTGTGAGGTGCAGAGTCTATGCATAGTTTTTTCACAGCATTCATTTTCCATGAACTTTTCAAAGACCATTCCTATATGTAGATTTCCAAATATTTTGCCACTAAAATAAACATCTTTTACCTCCACTTTTCCACGAGTTTTTCCAAGTATTTCCCCATATTAATCTCACTACAAATTGGGCTGTATTTAATGTTTGTAGCATCAGAGCTATAATGTGCTCTCAGGGGACCCCAACAAGCCCCTACTTACTTAGAGTGGCCACCCAGCCATCACCCAGTGTTACTGCAGCCCTGGTGTGAGGCTAAGACGTGAGGAAGGGAATTGTCCTGTGGTCTTAGGGTTGAGCCAGGGTCTCCCACTGGACCTGTCTGGGGGCTGGGACGTTCATAAGTGTTTCTTCGCATCCTCTCCCTGTAGATCCAGGAGAAAGGACAGAGTGTGCTGGAATTGGCCAGCTGCCCTCTTCCTGATGGGAGGGAAGGCTCCAGTCAAGTCCTCTTTCCTGGGGAACATTGTTGGAGAATGCTTTGGGTGTGTTTCAGAACGACTGCCCTTCCTGTCCCTCTACCCCAGGTGGGAGGGAATTGTTCTTGGTTTTTCACCAAGGGCTGCTGGGGAGAAAGCCCATGAACACGTGCGAGCCCATTCGTATACGTTTCAAAGGCATCCTTTGAGGAAAGTACGGTCAATGAAGTTGAAAAATATAGATTCACCCCCTCACTGAACATGGATTTGTGGGCCTCCCGTAATCTATGTGCTGGGCATGGTTCCAGCCACTGAGGTAGAGCGCGTGAAAGAGGCAGATTTCCACGCGCGGAGGAAGGGATGGACAACGGGGGACAATGGGGAGTCGGATCTGCAGTGCGTTGGGTCATCCCTGCTGAAGCTGTCCCCCCAGGAGTTGGCGGCGGACAGAT